TTGTTAATTAACTTTTCGTAACTTCGTTCCGACAAAACTTTAGCGACACAAGTTCTTTACTTAATAAAACTGGTTTATTTTTCCGAATACAACTTTACCAATACACTCAACTTCAACAATCGCGCTAAACAAACGAACGTCAATAATACTTCTGACAGCAGATCAATTACTCACTATCTACCTACACATTACATTAATCTTTTTCCGCGTCACGTTTTCCCCCTCTTATATATACCAGACTACCCTATCTAGAGCATTCATGAAAGAACAAGATAGTTCTAGAAACTAGAGGGCGCCACAGTAGTCATGTGACTCGCTGACGCAACAATACTAATAATACGCTAAAAATGTCGCTAACTTTTCAAGTATACCAATTCAAAAAATTCTAAAACAGCAACGTTTTCGTCTACCATCTACTTGATTGATTGTTTTGTAGTTAAGCACAAAGCTACACAAAGGGCTATCTGTGCTCTGCCCACCACAAGTATCGAAACCTAGTTTCTAGCGGTATAAGTCCGCACTACCTACCTAATCACATCAGCGGGGCTAAACCCTAGATTCTCGACTATCGCTACAAGAGTTCTCCAGCTTACTTGACTAGTCTGTAGGTATCGACTTTTGATATTCCGATAAATATATACATATTTTTTATAAATGGTAAACATATCATGCACGTACTTAAATATATTTTTAACCCAACAGATGGCAATACATATCGACGGATAGACATGTGACAGTTTCTAAAGGTAAAATATATATACAGGTATAACATAAAAAGGAATCAAACAAGAGTGTTAAAAAATTATGAATTTTACAACAAAGTAGGGATCCTGTTACAAAAAGTAATGAAACAAGAATTAGCACCACAGTAACAAGTTTATAAAATTTAATCCCTACTTTGGCCTACAGATAAATGTATGAAGCTGCCAAAATAGGGATTAAATTTGATAAGCTTGTGATTGTGGTTTTAATTCTTGTAAAAATTATAGCTATCAGGGATATGGCTATACTGAAAATTTATAGATGTTGTGTCGATTCCAAAGACAAATAGAAATTGAACAAATAAATCAGAAAAATAAAATTATAACGGAAATTAAGGATCATTGGTTATTCGTAGAATTGCTATAAGAAGTATGTAAAATAAAATAAATACTGCAATAAAAAGTACACAAAAAGTAAAATGATACTAGTTGGATAGTTTTAAAACGATTTGCAATCCCTATTTTGGTTGGCATTGTGATCCATATAACTAAATGAAGCAGTCTAAATTTTATTGCATTTTTTTTACATACTTCTTATAGTAATTCTACTTTTAGTTACAAGTTTAATTTTTTTCTTCTATTTATAATAACGTTTTAGGCCTATTTGTTTTTGAAATTTTCGCCACATTTCGGGTTTAAACCGTAGCTTTTATAATAGTTGTAATAATATTTTAAAAGTATAGAGAAACAACAATTTGACATCAAATGATTATATTTAATGACTTGTTTAAAAGCTTGTCCTTCAAAATTTTATTTCAAAAATATTTTAAAATTAGACTACTGTTCTATAAAATAATTACGTCTTATATAATTTATTGTCCACGGTCAAGAAATTACGTTTTTAAATGAGTGAGACTAACCACTTCACATACATGAAATAATTTTATATTACAGCGATTGTAGCAAATGATGAAGATTATGACATCTGACTCTTTTTAATTTCATGTAATTACAGTTTTCGTATAAATCAAGATATTTCAAGAAATATATACATATGTAGCAATACAACAAAGTACCGTATTTTTC